AAGATGACGATGTCCCTTCATTAAAAAATAAATAAATAAATCTCTTTAAAATGTTGTTAACAAATGATTTCTTTTTTAATTTATAATTTTTTTAATTTCAAAATATAATATTTAATGTTTCAATATTATAAAATATAAATAGCAGGCTGCCGGCATGTAACATTAATTATTAAGGAAACCAGCGTATGATTAATGAAAGAATTGTTTTTGCTGTTCGATGTGAGCTTTGATTCACGGGTTGCTGAAAAAATTAACAGAAATGAAAATATTTTAAGCGGAAAAAAGAAAAATGATACCGATATGCCATGTGGCTTAGTTGACGGTGATAAAAACATTTTATGTAATATAATTGATTGATAATAAGTACTATCATATTTATTTACTCTGCATATCGTATACTGATAGGCATGAGTTTGGTCTTCGAAGAATTGATATTGGCACACGTGTTGTGCATAGGAGAGAACTCACACACTCTCGTGTGGATGATTCAGATGTGATAGGAACAAAACATGATGAAGAAAAGATCCGGATGATGATTATGGCAAAAGTCTCTCTGTTATTCCCATCGCGGGGATGAGAAGCTTGGGAAAGACTACACTTGCAAAGTTTGTGTTCAACAACAAGAGGATAGATGGGTGTTTTTTTATTAAAGATGTGAGTGTGTGTTTCTCATGACTTTGATATTAACAGATTGATTATCAAAATCATCAATTCTATTAATGATTCAGCTTCTGTTGAAATCTTTCCTCTCCAACAAAAATTAAACATGTTGGATCTGGAGTAATTGCAAAATCAATTAAAAAACAAGTTTATTGGTTAAAAATTCTTACTTGTCTTAGATAACGTGTGAAATGAAGATCGTGTTAAATAAGTTGAGTTGAAATATTTAATTAGAGTAGGTGTTGCAGGAAGTAAAATTCTAATGACTACACGTAGTCAAATAATTATTTCTGTGGTGGACATTGTTCCCTCTCACATTTTAAAAGGTCTTTTATTAAAGGATTCATTGTCTCTATTTGTCAAATGGGCATTTAAAGGAGGAGAAGAGGAAAAATATCCCCATTTGGTAAATATTGGGGGAGAAATTGTGAAAAGATGTGGAGGAATTTCATTGACTGTAAGAACATTAGGGAGTTTACTATTTTTAAAATTTAGAGCAAATGCATGGGAAAACGTGAGAGATAATGAAATTTGGAATATACTATAGAAAAAATGTGACATTTTACCTGCACTTAAATTAAGTTACGATCTCATGTTATCCTACTTGAGACAATGCTTTGCATTGTTTTCCCTTTACCCAAAGGATTATGGTTGCAATACTTCTAAGGTAACTTCACTTTGGTGGGCACTTAGACTCCTTGCTTCACCATATAAGAATATGACACTAGAAGATGTTGCCAATCAGTATTTGTATGAACTACAGTCAAAATCTTTTCTTCAAAATTTTGTTGACATTGGTAGTGTTTATACATTTAAAACACATGATTTGGTGCATGATCTTGCTCTTTTTGTAGCAAAAGATGAGTGTCTATTTATCAATTCACACATTCAAAATATTCTTGAGAATGTTTGACATCTGTCTTTTGTTGAAAAAAATTTACTTAACAGTTCATTCACCACAAAGTCAATAGTTGTGAGAATCATCTTGTTTCCAAATGCTACAACAAGAGCCATCAATGAAGCTTTACTAAATACTTTTCTGTCAAAGTTCAAATACTTGTGAGTTTTGGATTTAAGTTATTTAGCATGTGAGACTTTGTCTCGTTCCATTGGTAAGTTGAAACACTTGAGATATTTCAACATTATGGAAAATTACAATATTAAGAAACTCCCCAGTTCTATTTGCAAGCTCCAACATTTGCAAGTGTTGAAACTTGATGGATGCACGAAATTAGAAGCATTGCCAAAAGGATTAAGAAAATTGATCAGTCTTCAACAATCGGAGATAACCACAAAGAAATTTGTTTTGCCTGAAATTGAGATTGCCAACTTGAGTTCACTTACATATTTGTCTATTTATTCAAGTAAAAATTTGGAGATCGTTTTCGATGGGGTGAAATTCCCCACTCTTAAACTATTAATTGTTGCTTATTGTTCAAGTCTTAAGTCTTTGCCAATGGATGTTAAAACTTTTCCTGAATTAGAAACTCTAGTTGTTAAAGATTGTTGTAATTTGGACTTGGAACTATGGAAGGACCAAAATGAAGAACAAAACCCCAAGTTGAAGTTAAAATTTGTTCGATTTTGGGATTTACCACAATTGATAGTCTTGCCTCAATGACTTCAAGAAACTGCTAGCTCATTACAATACTGGAGTATTTTAAATTGCAACAACCTTGAAATGCTTCCAGATTTGTTGTCAACTCTAACTAATCTGAAAACATTTGGTATAGAAGATTGTCCAAAGCTTCTATCTTTCCCAAATAGCATTCATCACCTTAGCACACTTGAAATTTTGGTAATTGGAGGTTGTCCTGAATTATGTAGAAAATGCCAACCCCATGTATGTTGGACACTTTTGGCCAAAAATATCACATATCAAATAAGTTTTGATTTTGAAGAACCAGAAGAATGGGAGGAAGAGGAAGAGGAAGATGAAGATGAAGAAGAATGCTTTAATGAAATAGATAAGCATTGAAGCCATGTTTTTTTTTTCTATTTCTATTATGTAGAAAGTTTTTCATTATGATTCTCTTAATATGTTTTGAACTCTTCATGAGTATAACGATTCACATCAAATTGAATTTGGATCATTTGTTTAGTGTATGTAAGCCTCTTTCTTATTATATCTCTTTTATCTTCCAAATTGTCTTTTTGTGAAAATAAATTTGAGTTTCTAGATATGGAATTTCAATTTACAACCTCCATGATATTTGTGTAATACTATAATAGTTGTTTAGATTTTAAAACTCAGAACTATGGTGAGTGTTCCTTCTTCATCTATATTGATATCTAAATAGTGATTTGATCGTATATTTAATAAGAGTTAATCACTTTTATTGTCAGTGTAAAGTTTTTTACACGGGCAACCAATCAGATATGTTAATAGTGTCTTTTTTATTTTAATTTAATTAAATGAGTAAATGACATGACACTATTAATAGATCTGATTGGTTGTCAATGTAAAAAAACTTTACACTAGCAATGTATAAGTGACTCATTTAATAAATTAGATTGGAGATAGAATTTAAAATAAATTTTTGAGTTTTATCCCTTGAATAAGAAGCTTAATAAAACATATGATTAAATAGAGATGATTATCATAAACAATTTGTTGGTGTTATTTTTCATGAATCTGAATAGCAAATTTTAATTAACTCAAGTCTATAATATTATTAAAACTAGATTTTGACCTAAAAGCGTTGGATGGGTTTATTAATATTATATATGGTATAATAATGAAGTATTATAATTATTTAAAAATATTACATTAAGTTATAAAAATAAATATTTATAAAATACTTGTTGAAATTATACATAAAACCGTATATTTGTCCAAATCATATTAATTATATAAATTATTTGTATATGATATAATATTGAGGATATTGGAAATATTTAAAAATAAATATTATATTAATGTTATAAATAATTTTTGTTGAAATTATATATAAAAAATTAACATATATTTGTCAAAATTATATTAAATATAGAAATTATTTCGAAACTAATAATTTACAAAATTTTAATTTATAAGTTAAAATATTTATAAATTATATGTAGAAAATGTATATTTGTCAAAATTTAGGAGACAAACAATTATATGATACCGAAACACTAACTAAATTATTTATTTTTATACTATGAAATATAAAGTAATTGATCTTTGATAAAATGAAGATTCCACAACTATTTAGAAAGCTAAAAAAAATAATTTTCTAAGAATACAATTTTGTATAAAAATAATAATATATCACATAAAGGTTTTTTTTTTCATTTTGTATCTATAAGTGAATTTTATGGACCACTACTAATTCAATAAATTAACAACTTCAACTAAATTAAATTTTCAACTTTTAAATAGCATTTTAATCCTCGACTAAATTATCAACTAATAAGCAGAACCAAGATTATGACAAGATTATTTTGTGGTTAAGGGTGTGCATAGTTTAATTTTTTAAAAAATCACATCGTACCATTTTATTAAACTAAATTGATTTATAAATTATTTAAATCACATCAATAAACTAATTTTGAATAAAAATACTTTTATAAATAATTTAGAATAATTTCAAAATCAAATCCATTCAAATTGATTTTAGGAACATAACCAATTTTAAATATTTAAAAAAAAATACTTTTTCCATTAAATTGTGAACAAAGTCCTAATTAATTCACTTTTTATAGACAAATTAAAAAAAATTACTAATTAGACATTTAACTCGAAACTAATTAAGTAGACAAATATAACATAAAGATAAAAAAAAAATTGCTTCTTTTATTAAAAAAATTACACAAACAAACCTGCATAAGTCAATTCAAATGCATATGAAAAGATATAACTTTCATGTAAAAAATTAACTATGAAATATGATTTGATAACTATAACTACTTCAGTAGACTTAAGATGATCAAAAGGTAAAAAAATAAAAAAATAAATACAATGATTGTAAGCAATACTAAAACATTTTATGTAATACTATAAATCATTAAATCATAAGATTTGAGAGACATAAACAAATTATTTTGATTTAATTTTATTTTATTATTTAAAAAATGGTACACCTGAAACTAATTATCAATACAATTCAATTTTTAAAATTCATTTTATGTAAACAATGCTGATTGATTTTTTTCAAATTTATTATGACTTTTTTAAATAGTGTAATTTCAAATATAAATCCGTTCGATTTTTTTCACACCCTACTTGCGGCTGTTGTTACATAGTTTGACATCTGATTTGAGAGCGGCACAGTTATGATCTTTTAAACATATCATGTTCAGCATGTAAACAAAAGAAGATGGTAAAGATTAGAAACGAAATGCATATAGACAACGCGAATGCAACTCTTAGTGGCCAGGTGTTTTATTTTACCTTTATTACTCCTCTTCTGCAAAAAAACATCAATCCTTGACATGCGCACACATTCATAATGCTACCATGCTATGGCCAAACATTCTCGCAAGATTCACTCGTCTCATAGAAGTTCACATAATTGATAATAGTAACTTCAGTTCTACTGAAATCAGATTTTAGGCTAAAGAAGTAGAATACTAATCTCTAGGTTCAGGAAAGCTCTCGGCTGCGCTTAGCAGCAGCAACAACAGCATTCATTAGTGTTCCACGGAACCCACCTTTTTCCAACTCATGAATGCCCGTAATTGTTGTCCCTCCCGGAGAAGTAACGTCATCCTTCAGCTGTCCCGGGTGCTTCCCACTCAGGCTCACCATTGATGCTGCTCCCAATACCTGGAACACACAATTCAAGCAAACAAATGTAGGTATGTTAAGCTAGGAATGCACAAGTTTTGACCCTTCAACATATTTTTTAGCAACATGCTTTCATATTCAAGCAACAGTAATTGCATTAACTGTAACCTTATTTTTTGGTCTTTTTGAATTGCTAGTATGTGCTTATATACAGGCACTGTGTTGGTTAAACTAAAACCAGTAAAAATTTGTGGCCAAGTTTAACAATGGATCATCATCATAATTTGGATGCACTAGTGTAGTAGATGACTTTTCTATGAACTGGATGCTTTTGATTAATTGGACTTAATTCTTGCTCAACCTGTCCAGTAAACACTGCAACATAGAAGAAACTTGGTATACTTGAATCAAAAGTTTGATTTGTTGTTAGAGACCTTTATCTATTGCATAGACTGAATTACATTACACAGTAAAGCTAATAATAACATTATAAAAATTTAATCCAAATTACATTACACTGCAACTCAACCAATCTTCTACTTAGTTATGAAAGCCAGAGTTCTTATCTTGGCAAACTAGAAATACCATGCCATAGAAATTGAAATACATTTTTACTATTCTAAAATTTAAAATAGATTAATTGCAACATATTTGACACGTGAAATATACTTTTGTTTATTATATCCGACTTCATGACAATATAAGGCAATGCAAGAGCAAGCATTAGATAAATTATAAACATTTGGAGAAATAGAACATGAATTTCCCTTATTAAATGGTCGAAGGATAGTATTTCACTTCACTTACAGTTTGGGAAGCCAAACTTAATGAAAGATCGCGTGGTAGACCAGCTGCTACTCCTCCATCAGCCAAAGCCTCTATTGCTAGATAAACGTAAGCAGGACCACTGCCACTGAACAATTTAGGAAAAATAAAACAAGCTTTAGTAAATACATCAAATTTTAGTGAATACAAGTAAATGTTATAGAGATATATAGGCTGTTAGATGTATAGCCATCGCACAACTGAGAACACAAGCTACACCAATACAAAATCTGAAAAATAGGGACAAGGCTCATAAATTAGTTGAACAGAGATAGAATCAATTTACAATGCTAATTGGGATTGAAAGTACAAGCATTATATAAAGGAGAATGAGAGAGGTATGGAGCTGGGGTAGAAGCCTGAGTTCTGAGTTCAATTCCCATGTACACACAAAACAAAAAAATAAAATAAAAAGCACAATAAATAACCAATAGAATATTCAGAGCCCAGACACTCTTCGATTGTTCTTCCAAATGCAAATAACTTAGAATTGAATGCCAATAGCAGACCTAGATTTAAACCCCTCCTTTTCTTCTAACCATGTACTAGTATAATCACTTAACTCCCAAGAAAATTTATGTTTATCAAAGATGAATGAAATTTCTTGTTGATTTCTCGGATATTGTCCAAATATTATTCTGTGATTTTAGAAGATGGGATCCACATACCTCAGACCAGTTATTCCATCAAAATACTTTTCATCAGCTTTCCATATTTTGCCAATTGCCCCAAATAATTTAGCTATTACAGTTCCATCTTCTTCTGTTGCAGCTGCTCCCAAGCTCATGACTGTCATAGTTTCATTTTAGTTATCTATTCATTCAAGTCTAGAATTCTCAACAATGCAAAGTAATACAGAAAGAAATGTAATAAATAAGGAACATCCATGGTTTTATAGAATAAAAACATACAAGGCACAGAATTTACCATAATATGAAAGAGAAGGCATTCTTGACCTTGTAATTTAGGAAGAAGGCCCTCTTCATAATTGAGATTATTTACCCGTGCAATTCATGCCTCCAAATCAAAAAAAGAAAATAAAAAAATGCTGAGACTACAAGATCAAACTGTAACAAGTGTACATATCAGAGAATACTTTTGGGAGCCTGTCAACCCCACTCTTCATAAAAGGGAAGAACAAAACCACTACGACAGACTATTATAATAAATCATGTCTAACTTCCATCACATGAAAGAGCCTCATTCATCTAACACAAATATCAGTCATAATAATAATCATCTTCCTCTCATAGTTACCAACAAAGATGCATAATAATACAATATATAACAACCATCCAATATAAATATTAAAGGCCAGTCATGTTCTAAATGTAGTTGTCTTCTATATACACAAAACACCTAAAACAGGACCTTGGCATCACAAAAATAAGGCTTTTAACAGACAATTCTGACACCAAAAGAGTGTTCAAAATGTTCCACCAAGTATGAATTGGACAGCCGGCTGAAACGGTCACAAAAAAGAAGGAAAAATCTTATATGTTTGCAGACATTAAATGATTTTTGCAGTAAGAAGCTTAAATACCAGATTAACAACAAACAAGTTAATTCCACCAGAACTTTCAAGTTGCCCATCAGAATTGACTTTTCTATCAAAAATTTTGAACACAAAGCAATAACTGAGGAACAAAATACAATATGCTTTTAAAAGTAAAAGAAAAATAATAATACCTGATGCTGCCTCACCAACAGCAGCGGGTGTATTAGGCATCACTCTTATAAATCTGTCGTTCCCAGCCCATTCCTACATTTTATGAAACAACCATTTTCCTTAAAATTATGCAACTAACTATGTCTGCAAGGCTAAAAAAGAGTGAAAAGCATCTTGCACACCTTGTGTGAAATATATCGGCTTGGTTTGAGAAAATATTTTTCCATTTTCTATTGTCATTTTTAATTAAAAAAAAAACACCTTATTTTTATTTTTGTTTCTTGTTTTCAAAACCTTTTCCAGAAACAATGAAAACAACTTTTATAATGAGTTTAACTGTAATGCAGCGAGTCTAAAATGTTTTACAATATCATTTCATCAAAAATCATCTGTAGATAACTCTTAAAATATTTATTATAAAAGTCAACGAACTTAAATTCTTTTAAAATTCTGTACTTGTTTCCTTTTTGTTTACATTAATTCACATACAAACTTAAGCCATAAACATTTTTTCAAGCTAAACCAAAAAAATGTTCTATTCCTACTCAAATTATAATCCAACAGCACAAGTAGACATAGCAAAACAGGAAGAAAAAAATTACTACTTTCGGTAACCTGAAGATCTTTCAACTTGACACCAGCAGTGACCAAAACCAAAAGCTTGTTCTTCGTCAGCAGCGGCGTCAATTTCGTGACCACATCTTTCACTGCAACAACACAGCACGTAAGTGAAAACGCAAGTCGAGTATGAACAAAGTGAGATCGAAATCGAAACCGCGGCAAAAATAAGTACCTAATTGAGGTTTGACCGATAAAACGACGACGTTGCTTTCGCGAACGACCTGCGAGTGCGAGGAAAAGGAAATGAAAACGGCGTCGCGTAAGTTAGTTTCAGCGATAAAAGAAAAAGGGAGGGAATAGTAATACGTCGTCGTTTGAAGAGAGAACGGTGACGCCGAAGGATTCGAAGGCGGCGCGGCGCGCGGGGTTGGAGTGAACGGCGGTGCGAATACGAGAAGGCGGCAAGATGCCGGAACGGACGGCGCCTCTGGCAATGGACTCGGCCATTTTTCCGGCGCCGATGAAGCCGAGAGTGTAGCTATCGGCGGAAATCGGAACGATTTCCATTTTTGGTTCTGTGGCCGAGAAATCGATATCGATCTCAAACTCAATTCGCGAGTGTTGCAGGTTTAGTTTGTTAGGGAAGCAGGGAAAGCAGTGAGGCAGTGATGCAGATTAGTTCGACCACCCTTTCACTTCCACTTGTGTTGTTTCACTTGCATACTCAACTTCACGTCACGTGAAAAAATATATAAATTCTTATTATAAGTTATAACAACCTTTTTATTTGTAAAAAAAATATTTAGAATAAATATCTTTAAATAAAAAATGAAAAAATATATTGCAATACCGTATATTTTAAGGTAATTTAATTAATTATATAATTAAATTGTATGATTAGTTTTGTAAAGTATTATTAGTGACGTGAGAATAAGAAATTTTTGAGAATTAAATTGTTCGAGTCAATTTGAGTTAAAGTTTATTGAGATAGTTAAAATGAGAATATAAAAGTTTTTTTAAGACGTGAATCTTATGAGTTTATATTTTAAGATAAATTAGAGAAGGTCTACAAAACTCGAGAAAACTCTTTTCAATTTTCTTATCTTCATTCATCTTTTGTTCTTCCTACACCTAATTCAAGAGGATTATTGGTGATTCCAAGCTTATGAAACCAAGAACACCAAGTCAGAGGTTGTATGGTTTCTTCTTTCTCTTCTCTTTTTCTCGATTCAAATTGACAAGAGGTAAGAGAAGCTTGGTATTTTTTTTGTTGATTTTGATGATTTTCTAGTTGTTGGTTGTCTTGAAGTCATTTTTGTCCGATGAAATTGATGGAAATGATGAATTGAATCCGTTATAAAGGAGTACCCTTGAATGGTGTTCTTGGGTTGCTTGGTCGAATCTAATGTTAGGATGGTTGCATGTGTTGTTTAAGGTTGTTTTGGTGTTGTTTATATGGTATGTATCATATATATTAGATTGGATGTTGGGTCTTTGCTGCATTTCAGTAGATTAGGCGATTAAGTTTTTGCATAAGTGCAAAAACAAATATCTTGTTGGACACGTCTTCATGGTGTTAGGTGTGGTTTGAAGTTAGAAGTTTTCATTCTTGACATGGGGCACAAGTTTGATGGTATCAAGCATGATGAGAGCGAATTGTCTTTGATTTTGTCACATTCGAATGAGTTTGAATGGCATCAGGTGTGAGAAGAGAAAATCATATCTATCTAGATTGATGTCAAATGCCAATGGAGTGGTGTTGGGCATGAATCAAGTAGAAGCCTTCTACCTAATTGGGGTCGAAGATGAACTTTTATTACACTAGACGCAAGAGAGTGGGAGACTCTTTGCCTCAGTCGTACCAAGCACACGGAGTTTGACATTGGACGTGAGCGGGATAGGAACCCCCTATCTCTTGGTGTTGGGTGCCTAAGGGATGGCATCGAGCACGAGTTGCATAATTTTAATGTGATGTTTAAGTTTTTCTGTGATTGAAAAATTATGACTAAGTTGTATGATGAAGATGATATGATGATAGTTCTTTATGTTTGAAGTTGATGTACTATATAATGATGTTTATGTTGTTAAGTTGTAAAGTTATATGATGTTATAATTGATCAAGTTGCCAAGTTGTTAGACAAGTGGTATACATATGTGTCTTTATTATGATACATAAAAATTAGAGGAAAATAATAGATGTTTTAGAAATTAAAATATCTCATTGTGTATATAAGTTATGGTATTCCAATAACTCAATTGAGATCCTTTAGTAAGTAAATTGGCTACTAAAATGGTAATTATTTTAAGTTATCTCCTCTAAGTTTTGTGTGGAATCCATATGTGGACAAAGCCAAAGCATATATATATAAAGCAATCATCTGAACAAAGTACAAGGTCAAAAACTTAGTTCCTAATTGAATATTAGAAGGACATAATATTTGAAAAGTAGTTAATAAACTAATCCTATAGAAATTTTTACTATGACAATAATACTTTCATGACTTGACTTGAGTGGTGAAACCTGATAAATCAAATTTAAATAACTTTTTTTAAGAATTTTTTTATAGTAATATTCAATCATAAAACTTATTTTTAATATAAAAAATTGTTGTATTTAATCATAATTTTATTAAAAGTATATAAAAAATTAGCAATATTTAATTTAGACTTTTTTATTTAAAAGATTTCTAATAATATTAAAAAATTCAAACTTTAATGAATGCTTTTATAAAATGATTTTTTTGAGACTTTTAATATAATCTATATATATCATTCAACAATTTCCGTCACCCTTGGACAATCTTACATAAATCTTTTGATTTTTTTTTTATTCGTCCCTGGAGTATCCACCGCTGACAGCAGTGACTAATTTCCTCGCTACTTTGGAGGCACCTCAAAGGGTGGGATAACTGACCCCAAGATTTAACGCGGCTGCATACACAAGGCAGGATTCGAACCCTGACCTTGCTTAAGCGTGGATCAACCCCTACCGCTAAATCATACGCTTAGGGTTAAATCTTTAGATTTAATGAGACTTTTGTTTTTTTTTTTATTTCTCTTACTTTTTTCTTTCTGTCTCATCATTCGTCTTTCATCTCTTAGGCCTCACTCTCCTTCTCTCTTTTTTTCTCTTTCCTCTTCTATTTTTCTTTCATCTCTCCCACTTCTCTACTTTTTTTTTCCTATTTTTTTATAGCTAATATTGATGTAAAACTTATTAATATTTTTTTCTATCTGTTTGAATTATAAAAATTTAAAATTATATTTAAATTAATAAATATTATCTATTATTAAATTTTTAAACTACTAAATATTTAAATCTTGACTAATATTTATTATTTACAAAGTATAATATTGAAATTTTAAACATATATTAAAAATAATTTTTATATACAGTAAAAATTAAATTATCTTATTTAAATTAAAAAATATGAAATTATCCAATCTAAATATTGTTTTAGATATAAACAAATTGTTGATATAAATAATATTAAATTCAATCTTTTTAAATAAAATTTTATGTCTAAGTTTTATATATGAAAAAAAATCGTAATTAAAAGATGGGACTCCATTGCATTTCCTCAGTTAAATTTTTTACGAAAATTAGTTATTGAGAAATACTTTTTCATTAAAAAAAATGTTTTACATTGCTACGTAAGTAATGTGTTGCCAAGGCAAAGTGTTTTTTTTTTTTTTTTTTTTTTTTTTTTTTTAGGGAACGTGTTGCCAAGTTAATTGTACATGAATCAACACCAAAAAAAAGTTAATTGTACATGAATAAATCTTTTGGGTCGGATACATACTCGGAAAGGAATTAATTTCGGTTACAGTTACTGCGTGTTTGGTACAAAGGAAAAAAATAAGTGAAAAATAAAGCAGAAAGAAAAAAAGATAAAAATAAATAAGTAAATAAATAATTGATTATTTAATTGAAAAGGAATATATGAAAAATAAATAATAAATATAAATATAAATAAATAAAAGAATAAAACCTACCACATTTTAATTTTTTATCCTCTCCATATCCAAAAAACTTCACTTATCCATTATTTTATTTTCACTATCTTCACCTTATTTATTTACCATCTCTTTCTTTACCGTATTTTTTTTTGAGAATTGCTTCATCGGTTGAAGAAAAGTTCCGAATCAGCGTTTGAATGTATAAAATATTTATAATTTTTAATAAATTTATTATAAAATAATTATTTAATTTAATATTTTATAATTTAAATTATTATTTTAAATTTTCGAAATATGTTTCGGAACGTAGAATTTTTCTTTCTTGTTTTTGTTTTTTAATCAAACAAGACATTATGGGAGAATTCTTGCGCGTCATACAAATGAGAATTTTGATTCGATATCTCACCTCCCCCTTTGACTTGTCTAAATCATCCTCATTCAGTGAAATCGATATCGAAATTGGTTTTGTATTGTGTGTACTACTTTCATCACACAACGGAAGCGATGACATCATTGAGATGTGAGTGAAGGTTGGCCTTTTCTTTTGTCATTTTTCGAGGCAGATCTTAACATATATATCTATTCACTATCATTCCCAGGAAATTGTATAGCCAAGATCAAAGAGAGATGGCACAGCTATTTGTGAAGCAAGCAAAGCAATACGCAGCTGCAAGACCAACTTATCCTCCCCAACTCTTTCAATTCATCGCTTCTAAGACTCCCTCTCACAACCTCGTTTGGGATGTTGGCACCGGGAGCGGCCAAGCTGCTAAATCTGTAGACCTACTTTCTTCTCCTTCTCTATCTTAATTTTTTTTTTCTTTTAGTTTTTCACTTTCCCTATCAGTTAAGTCATCAATTCTAGAATTTAATTTAGCATAAACTTCTTACTGTGTCATCCCTTCATAATTGTTTTTGCGCTTTAACCAAAATTAAGTTGTAATTTCAGTTAGCTGCGATATACGAGAATGTGATAGCCACAGATGCTAGTGAGAAACAGCTTGAATTTGCAGCCAAGATCCCTAACGTGCGATACCAACACACCCCATCAATCATGTCTATGACCGAGCTTGAACAAATGGTGTCACCTCAAGGAACCATAGACCTTGTGACCATAGCCCAATCCTTGCACTGGTTTGACCTACCAACCTTCTACCAACAAGTCAAGTGGGTTCTCAAGAAGCCTCATGGAGTCATTGCTGCTTGGTGTTACTATTTGCCACGAGTTAGTGATGCAGTAGACACTGTCCTTGATCAATTTTATTCCACTGAAGTAAGCCCTTATTGGGACCCAGCACGTAAATTGGTTGATAACATTTATAGAACCATTGATTTCCCATTTAAGCCTGTGGAGGGAACAGATCACACAGGACCCTTTGAGTTTGTGACAGAGACTGTGATGGATTTGGATGATTTCTTGACTTACATAAAATCATGGTCAGCATATCAGACGGCAAAGGAGAAAGGAGTGGAGCTTCTTGGGGAGGATGTGCTTCAAAAATTTAAGCTTGCTTGGGGTGAAGATGGTCAAAAGGTTGCAAAGTTTCCGATTTATTTGAGAATTGGAAGAGCATGGGATGCCTAAGAATATGCAAATGGTTGCTTTTACTTGGTGGGAAATGTGACAAGTGGCATCTTTTATCCATTGATCGAATAATTTAGCTTGTTATTTGAATTTTGAGGAAGTCAAAAACATAAATTGATCCTTCACAGCAGTCTAAAAACATAAAAGGAGTTGAGCCTTCTTTTGTTTTTGCTAATGTGGTAAGTTGTCATGAATAAATTTTGTTGTATGTTTCACTGTACCAAGTAAATTTTGATAGAAAAGCACTAGTAGTACATTATTTGATATTCTTATTTTATATTTTCTTATTATTAGGTTAAATTCCACTGAACTCACAGAGCATACTTATTAGGATTTCTCTTAATATTTTTTTTAAAGAAGTTAAATAGTACATTGTTAAAAGATGGAAAAAGCTTAAACGATGAAGATAGGGACAAAAGTCGCAATAGAAGCTAAATGAAATCTCTGCAATAGATCTGAACTCATTATTAGAATATTAAACAGCCACCTTATTTAATAGCAGGACTGCAGGAGTTAAGTTAGCTAGGTAATTCATCGTGTATTTTTTTATATGGAAATCGTATTCTTTTTCCTAATAACAAATAAAGACCAAATAATCATAATTCATCAAATTCTAAATTCAGCAAATGGTTCCAAATACATCACACAAGATTCGATATATACATTATGTGGAAAACCCAGAATATTACTTGAGTGTAAGGAAAAAGTGATTTTGTCGACAAAAAATTATATATTATATTAAAAATAAATTAGACGTGTCTAAATACATTATTTTTAAAAATGTACAACAAAAAATAAATTGGTATATTGAAACGAAGAACAATATTAAAATCAATAAAAATTAGTATTATAGTATATTAAAAATTAAATCAAATTTTATAAAAAAGAATTACATACATTTATCTTATTTACATAAAATAATACATTAGTTAATTAAATCATGCACTTAAAAACATTTAATTATCTTAATTAAAAACATATTTTTTGTCTTAATATTTTCCATTTAGTTAGTCATATCAATACTAAACTATCTAGAGCTAATTGTGTGGAAAAAATAAAAAATAAAGAAAACGTCAAGAATGTAAACTTTACAATTTTTCTTTTTACAAATAATAAAATGAGATGAAGACATTACATAGACTTAAACCGTGTTTATTTTTTAACATGTTTATCTGGGGTTAAACTAAAACCATTGATTAGCCAAGCAAATTAATTAATAATTAGCTATGATATCAACAATCAAGAGATCTTATTCAATTAATTGTAAAACTCTTTTGATACTAACTTCAATTCTGACGTATGAACTAAAATATTACCGGTGATGTTTTATTACTAGTAACTAGTAACTAGTAAGGGCTTTTAGTCTTCAACAATAAAATTAAATGTACACTTACGCACAAGGGAGACTTTGTTTGGAACGTGGGAGAGAGAGAGATCTGATTTAGGTGAGGGAGATCTGAAATATTAACATTTTTAATATATGGCAGAAAATTGGGGCGACGAGAAATATAGAAATTATTGGGTGAGAGTGAGACCGAGGGAGATCGGAGATCTGAATTATGAATCACACAAGTCACAAAATTGAGGGTTAAGACTTAAGAGCAAAAAAGAGATGGCAGAGCTATTTGTGAAGCAAGCAAAGCAATATGCAGATGCAAAACCAACTTATCCTCCACAACTCTTTCAATACGTTTCTTCAAAGACTCCCTCTCACAACCTCGCTTGGGACGTTGCTACCGGAAGTGGCCAAGCTGCCAAATCAGTATATTTTATTTTCTTTCTTCTCCTTCTCTACCACTTTTCCTATATCTAAAATGTTGCATTAAATATCAAAATTACACTAATAATTCTTTGTCAATTTCCGCAATCAAGCATATAAGTAGAAAAAGATTAATATAGTGTAGGTATTTCTAACAATTAATGGTTAGTATATAAGTAGAAAAAAATAGAGTGTGTATACAATTTCACAAAATATTGAAGGTTACGTTAACCAAAATTAGTTTGTAATTTCAGTTAGCCAAGTTGTACAAGAATGTGATAGCCACAGATGCCAGTGAGAAACAACTTGAATTTGCAACCAAGCTCCCAAACGTGAGATACCAACACACCCCATCAACCATGTCCATGACCGAGCTTGAACAAATGGTGGCACCTCGAGGAACCATAGACCTTGTGACCATTGCCCAAGCCTTACACTGGTTTGACCTACCAACCCTCTACCAACAAGTCAAGTGGGTTCTCAAGAAGCCTCATGGAGTCATTGCTGCTTGGTGTTACTATCTGCCACGAGTTAATAGTGATGTAGACACTATACTTGATCAATTATATTCCATTAGTGCAAGCCCTTATTGGGACTCAGCATGTACATTGTTTGATGATAAGTATAGAAGCATTGATTTTCCATTTGAGCTTGTGGATGGGGCAGATCACACAGGACCCTTTGAGTTTGTAACAGAGACTGTGATGGATTTGGATGATTTCTTGACTTATATAAAATCATGGTCAGCGTATCAGACGGCAAAGGAGAAAGGAGTGGAGCTTCTTGGGGATGATGTTGTTCAAAAGCTTAAACTTGCTTGGGGTGAAGGTGATAAAAAGATGGTCAAATTTCCGGTTTATTTGAGAATTGGAAGAGTAGGGAATGTCTGAAAATATGTAAATTAAATGATATGTTAGTTTTTTGTCAGAAGTGGAACAAGAAACTTCTTTTATGCATTAATTAAATAATTTAGCTTCTTTGGTACTATTTGAATCATTGTATTCATTGATACAATATTAACTGCAGGGCTCTGCAGTTATTTTTCAACTGCAGAAAATGCGGATCCTTAATATTAAGGTTGTAAATTGATGTGGTTATTAAAAAGTAGATGAAATAATAATATTACGATAACAATTGTAGATGCTAACTGTTAAGTAAAACTTTGGGTTATAGTATCTTCTAAGGATGGGTGAAAAGGAGAACTTAAAATCTACAAGGAAAATCAATCCTGATGCATCCTAAAAGAGTTGAGCTCCTATATATGCATTTTGCTTGTGTTATTAATGTTTTGATTTGGTGTTAACAAATTATGTTTTGATTGATATTTTTTATAAATACTTAAAAATAAAAAATACGGAAAGAAAAATAAGTGGTCTTCTTCGGTAAGTTATCAACTTATGCACAATTTTTATAGAAATTCTTTCTCTAAGTTCTTTGAAAGTTGAGGTATATAAAATAATTTTAGTTTATAAAAAAAAGTAATTCGTTTTTCTAAAGTATTGTATTACAGGTTTAGAATTTTTTTTTTGAAACGGGTCATTTTAATATAAATCCAACTTAATTAAGTAGAAGTATAACAATATAAATAGATAAATATTACAAACATGTCCTTGAACACTCTCTTAATAGTTTAAATTTATTATAAATCATTAAAATTGATAAATTTTACATGTTATTTAATGAATAATAGTTATTATAATAAGTTTTAAGAGGATTTTAGGGAGAATAATGATAATATCCTTCATACTTTCTGATAAAATTGAAGTTTAACTATGATAATCTATGCAGTAAAAAATAAAAAATAAATAAAAAGGTCGATACGGGTATTTCTCAATGCAAGATTCTATTTATAATTAAAATAACATAACAGTCTTAAGCTTTGTCATTCTTTACGATACTGGAATTAATTCAAAGTTTAAAATTTATTTTTTCACCAATCATTTCAACAGTTTTTTTTTTTTTTTCCTTTTGTGTTTGTTTAGTGCATTCAAATACCAATTTCTAAAAGCAAAACAAGTAGTACCATATTAACAAAATAATTTTATACACTAATATTGATATGAAAGCTTCATAATATTAGTACTTCCATTTAAATTATTGTAGTTTACCCATAATCACGATAATCAATTAATATAGGTTTGTTTTAATTGAATTAAAGATCTTGAATTCGAATTTTAAATATATAGTTATTTTAAATAATTGAAGGAGAAATTTTTATCTATCATAGTCTTACGCAGTTTAAATATAATTTAAAATGACTGTAACATTAATTATTTTTTTAATTTATCTTTATACAAATTATTTAATACCACCATAATTAAAAGTATTATATTTATTTAGACAATAAAATTGTATGAAATAATAATATATTTATTGTTATATTTAATATGTGTATCTTGAAGGATAGTAATTATGAGAAGGAGAAATTAATTATTAATTAATATTATAATTGTCATTTGTTTTGTAGCTGTACAATGGCTGCAAAATTACAAAAGGCCCAAACGTATAAATACTAAAGAGCTCTATTGAGGCACTTTTAAACTCTGTAACTGTTAATGGACGCTAAGATGGGAAGCCTCTTCGAATCCATCGGAAACTTCTTCGGCGGCGGTGAGCAGATCCCGTGGTGCGACCGCGACGTCATCGCTGTAATCTACCTTTCCTTTCTTCTATCAATCTCAAATCCAACATTTCCTTCTTTCTTTTATTTTTATTTTTATTTTTATTTTTCGTGTCTGTATTTTAAAACTACTTTTCGCATCAGAAATTCGAATATGTTGGGATTGATGATTTTTTCTGAATCCGTTCCTGATAGGGGACTCCAACACTGTTGCGCCTTGAGTCGATTCGCGGCTCTTTTTTGTGCTAATTTGTTTAACGTTAATATCTTATTCGATGCATTGAATCGATATTTTGTCCTAGACATCTCCTTAAATTGATCTTGGATATTTGTTTTTTGGATTATTTAACTTTTCAGTAATCGTAGATTCCGCTCTGATCCCTAACTAAAATCATGGTGAAAAATTGAAAAAGTTGAAGCAACTATATGTTGCTTTAGCCTAAGTATTTGATTTGGTCGAATTGAAAGTTAATTCAAACGCACACTTAGATTTTAAAATAAAATTGCAAAATGAGTAGAAGTGGAGAAAATTCTGTTGGTAATTCTCTGGTTGATCAGTTATGGGATCGCAAATACACTGTTTGACTTGTTATCATTGATTTCCTCTACTGTTATTTGCTTTCCTTCCTTCAGTCTTAACTATTTTGCATGTTTTGAAGGGCTGTGAAAGGGAAGTTGCAGAGGCTGCTAATGGTGACTCTGAGGAGCGGAAGAATGAGAGTATAATGAGGTTGTCATGGGCACTTGTTCATTCAAGGCAAAAGGAAGATATTCAACGTGGCATAGCCATGCTTGAAAGTACTGTAACTTACAGATTTATTTTCAGTTTAATTATGTTTTTTGTAGTATGCCGTTGTGATCTGCTTTTTGTAAAAATATAGTTCATATTTTTGGCACTAGCCTCTATTCTCTGTTTTTCGGATGCTTTGAAAACCAGTTTCATGTTTTAAGATTCTATTCCAACAATTCTGTATAGGTGCAGCGGTTTAAAAGACATCTCATTACTTTCATCCGATTCATTTTTTTATTGATTAAGCTTAATCATCTTTAAATATTCATCTGAATGCCCTATCACCTTTTTATCCCTGGGGTTTTATGATGAGTCATGACATCTCAAAACTATAATGTATAATTAAGGTACTAGTCTTGGGCACTAGCCATGATTTCTCAGTTCATTATGGCAAAATTAATGAAATGCCACTCAGAGCATAAGATGTCCCATTTGTTCATTGTGAGTTGTCTGATTATTCTGCCAGCCTGATGGACAATTAGAAATTCACCAAAATAGCATATGCAATGCACTCTGAAATTGCCAATGGGGTCATTATGGCATTGTAGTTTTCTGTGATTATCTTGCAAACTTAATGTAAGATGCTGAATTTACTAAACTAGCATTTGCAAGGCACCTATTTAACCATGGCCTTCAAGATCACTCAAATTTCCTACAGCTATTTATGTTCACTTATAAATCACTGAAAATATTGTTCTGTTCTTTAATCTGCCTTGAACAATGCAATTCAGATTTCTTCTATTAAAGGACAGCACATTTAGCCCTTTATGTTTTCTTTTATTTTTATTTTTTAAAAAAAAAAAAGATATCCTGAGCTGCTTATGCTACTGAGTTCTGGCAATTGCCACAGCCTCTTCCCTTCTTTCTATCACTTTCCTTATATAGTGTTACACAGAGATGTTTGATGGTAAGTATTATGACCTTTATATGTATGGCTAACCTTTTACGTCCTTAATTGTGATGTGCAGCTTCTTTGGGCAATGATAAAAGTCCTTTGCATCAAAGAGAGAAGCTTTATCTTCTGGCTGTTGGTTACTATAGAAGTAATGACTATGCAAGGAGCCGGCAGCTTGTGGAGCAATGTTTGGAGGTTTGTCTTTCTCACTTATAGATAATAGACAGAAACTGGGCTGTTTGCTAGTTTCTTTTTTTTCTTTCCTGTTTTCACTTTTTAATTACAAAATTGCCACCCTGTTTTCAATTTGTTTCATGTTTTCAAATATTTGTATAGTAAATACCGAAAACATTTTTTTTTCTTGTTTTATTCGTTTCCCGTATAAATCTTTAAACAGAAGTTGATAGTTTTGTAATTAAAAAGTGAAAACAGAAAATGAAAACCCAAGTAAACAGACCCTAATTTTCTTACTTTTTCCACTGCTGGATTGTCATTTCAAGTAATGCCCCATGTTATCAACAAGCCACTATAGAACTTGTCATAGTTAACAACTGATAGATAGTAATTTCGTTCGCTGCATAACTTAGATAATGGATCTTCGTATTAGTCTTGTGGGAGCCTGGGAATATTAAGACCCATTGTTATCCTTATGATTATGAGGATGTCAAGACTCAAGTGCCCACAGACCACAATTTTGATTCTATGCTGGAAGATTTATTATTTTTTTTTTCCTCAACAACAGCTGAATTTCTTTCATTTAGCTGGTACTGAATCTATCTATAACTTTCGTTTTTGTTCCATTATTTGGAAGTTTCCACCATATTGGAAGGCTGCTTTTTTCTTATTAATATGTTATTATTTGCAAATTAGTGGGTTTTGCAAGTCTGGTAGTCATCATCAGATTTAATTTTGATCCAGTTCCACTGTTAATGTACATAATATTTTTGTATAAAATCCTAGTTATTTCAATGATGTGGCACTTTCTTGAATATTGGCAGCTAGAGAAGTTTTACACTAACAATGGGCCAAACTTTAACCCTGTCGTAATCATATTAAAATTCGGTCATCATGGCCTAACATGAATGATTCTCTTTCAGCATTTTTCCTTTTTTATTCCTCTTAATTTTATGCGTGCGGGCCTCTTTTTCTTGCAGATTGCTCCTGATTGGAGGCAGGCACTATCCCTCAAGAAAATAGTTGAAGACCGGATTGCTAAAGGTACAACTCGTTTCTTGAGCTTTTGTTCCATCACTATAGCATTAACTAAGGAACTGCAAATGTTTGTTGTATCAATGCAGATGGTGTAATAGGAATTGGCATCACTGCAACAGCTGTGGGACTTATAGTTGGTGGCATTGCTACCGCATTGGCCCGGAGGAATTGAGAATCTATAACGATTGTTTCCTCAGAAATAATCTCAACCGCTCATGAGCGTAGCCTCTTTTTTTTTTTTTTTTTTTCTTCTGGAAACATGTTACAGTCAATGAGAACGTTGACAACTACTGTTTTTGACCTTTTCTTCTTTGTTAAAGGGAGCATTTTTACTGAATAGATGGTTTCCAAGGCAATTTTTTTTTTTTTTTTTTAACTCTGGGTGGGTTACACATGCCCCATTGAATAGATCTGGCATTTATTGATAATAAAAAAAATCTATAAATGGGGAACCTTGCATAAAATGGCTCACGTTTGATATTAAGTACGTCTTGTTTTTGACAAGTCACTTAGAAGTCAAATCCTTATTCCTTGAAGCAAATACTTCTTGCTCTTATGTGAATCTGAACATTTGGATTCGAATAAAGGTAAAATCGTGGATCTTGGATACAGATCGTGAATTCTTGTTTATATAGATAAAAGATAATAAATGAAAAGACAAAATCCTCAACTTTATGCTAATTAACAAGATTTGGGCTTTCATTTAGTATGTTTCACTTTCAAGTATTGTCTCTATGCCAACAATGTGCAGCTACATTGCCTACGATTTTTGACTAATGATCTGCAAATGAAATTGGTTCATATAAAAGCTAATTTATTAGGTCAAATTTATAATGCGTTGATGCAAATATCGTGAAGAGAAATGTTACGATAAAATATAGCTGTCAATATTGGCAGGCATCGGCATCAGAATTTCATGGTACGCTACCCTGTCGGTGGGCTTAACTGCATAAGAAAATGCAACATGTACACATTTTCTTCACAAATAATGCACAACCAGCTAACGGGATGGATAAGGCATGTTTAATAAGAACCACTAGAACAAATTATAACTAACGTGAGTTAACATTTATAAAATTAATTTTGAATAAAAATTTGGGCCTATTTTTTACAATTAAAAAATAATAACTCCAATATAAAAAAAATTCAGTAATCATTGTTTAGAGATTAAAAAAAAACTTTTACATTTATTTATAATAATAAAAGCCACTTTAAAAAATACAGTTGATTTTTTTAGGATGCTATTTAAAATTATTTTTTTTAGGTTTAAATATTTTTTTTCTCAAATTTAAGATAAAATTATTTTTAGTTTTTCAAATTCAAAACTACTATTCTTAGTTCAATAATTTTTAGAAATCTTATTTTAGTCTCTCATATCACTAATAATCCATCTGAAAGTAACAGATTGAAACAATTATATACTATTAACCAAATTTAATATAGTATTTTTACTAACAAAGATATCAATAAGTAAATTTTATGTAACAATATTTAAAAAAAATTAACAAAATTTAAGTATAAAAATTATAATTAAATTTTTTGAAATTGCAAGAACTAAAAGAACCAATTTTAAATTTGAGAAACAAACATAAATTTACATTAAATTTGATAAACTAAATATATTTAAGTCTCTTTTTTTTTTTATTAAAATGAACTATAACAGGTCCTTTATAGAATTATAATTACAATTGATTTTAAAGTAAATCCGATTTATATTTTAATATTTTTTTCTTAAAATAAATTATTAATAAAACTCAATTCCTTGATTCAATACAAAAGCTACGTAAAATTGTTTCAACTCAATCATTTTAAACTACACCAATTTCTCAAAATGAATAATTACTTAAAAAACGTTAGTATTTTTATGTGATACTAGAAGATTTAACGCGTATCCAAACACTATTACAGAAGCAGCCCCCTCAACAAGGTGCATGGTACGGTCAATGCAAAAGAAAATGTTAACGGATTTTTTCAACACAGGTTGTTGTTCTTCAAGGGTTTATAAAGTTCAGAGCATTAGGATTGATCATCTGGATTAGTGCAATCATAAACTTAATATGATACAATGTTGAGTACTACGACTTTAACCAGCAAAACACAAAAGAGAGCACAAGAAACTATGTAATCTATCACCAAACGCATCGATATGTGACATGCATCTGGGTGATTTCACCACTATAGGTAACTTTAACTACTTGCCCCTTCTCAAGTCCATAATATCGTGCAATTGCATCTGTCTGTAGCATGCGGGGAAGCTGAAAACAACAGAACTTAATATAAGAATACTTGTCTTGGAATATTAACATTAATGATTAAATTTAAGATTCATGCATACAAGTTATTATATGTTCTGGAGTCCATAATCACGCAATTGCATCTATCTGTGGCACGTGGTGATGGTGAAGCTAGAAACAACTCTTAAAATTTATAAAGCAGAGTCTCACACGAACAGCAGATACTATAACACAACTAAATAAAATATTGGACACCGAAATACCCCGCACACACACACAAATATATATATATATATATATATATGTATGTATGTATGTATGTATGTATGTATGTATATATGTATGTATTTATGTATGTGTGTATGCATGTACATGTTGTAACGTAGTGAGTAGATTTCAGAGTTTAGTTGACTCTAGAGAGAGGAGTATATAAGGGTTTATCTGAGAAGGGAACTTCATAAGTTCATTCTCAAGAAAACTTAGAGAAAAGTTTTAGAGAGAAGGACTCTGGGTTCGTGAACTCCTTTCTCTCCCAAATTTCTCTGTTTGATTCCTCTTCTCTCCTAGATTACTAAATATATATATATATATATATGTACACAAATAAAAATGAGTTAACTCTATAACCAACTCTTTTCTGGGTAAATTTAGAGTAATCCCTTTAAACTCATTTAAACTCTTATAAACTCTTGACTCTTGAGTCAAGAAACGAATTAGCAAGTTTGAAATCAATCCTTTTTAAATATGTTGACAAAATTTGCAGTCAATTATCACACGGTAAAACATTAGTAATGAAATTCAACGTGAAATCAATTGTTCTGCTGATACCAACAGAAATTATTTCCTTATGAGTAACTTCAAATGTGACTTCCTTTTACCTTCTTTAGACTCAATCTTAAGAGCGCATTCTTAAAGTGTTAATTGTAGATGCACAATAGAAAAATTATTGAATTAATAACTTAAATAGAAGGGACAGCGTGATCCATCACCAGATAATAAACAATTCAAAAGACTTAATTTGTGCCTGAGATAGGCTTTTTCCAAGTTACATCAACTGACCTGCTTTTCTTCGATATTGTACTTCTTCAGGAGATTTTTTTTCTGCCGATCAGTCAGCACCTGATGCTTTGGCTTCAACACATGCTTTGTAATATTAACAAGCAAGTCCGTGATCTGAACAGGAGGGAAAAAAGGTTTCCATGAGTTGTATGGCATGAAACTGGTAACTTTTGTCAGCACAGATAAGATAATCAGTCAACAAGTTCCATATTAGAGGAAAAATAAAATTATAGACACTTGATTCATGTTGTAGTTATTATTATTATATAAAGAAAATAATGAAGTTGTTGGAAGTTAGGGTCTACAAGTACTTAATAGATCATCACAGAAGCAAATTTGGATACAAAGTGAAACATTCAGAATGAGATGCTATAGTTACTTAACATTTGAAAGCATCACGTAACTTGATGTTACCTTGATAAAAAATTGCAGGTCAAAGTTTTCTTTCTTGATAAGCTACCAGTTTATACATGACAGAGTATCAGTTCAAGATTGATTAATAGGGATCTCAAAGTACATATATATCCATACTTATGATTTAAGCGATCATTACAGTTCAAATAAGAGAGTTTTCTATTACTTGAAGAAATTTTTAAATTCGAAGATTGTATTGCTACTTATGCAATAATGCAATATAATGATTGGATCTCTCCTAATAATGAACTATCAAATGAAACCCTCAGGAACATTCCATGCTTCTAATCTGCATTCAATCAGCCATGTATTTCTAACCTGTACTCCAATATACTAACCAATCTTTAAGCATTTGCTAACTTCAAAGAGCATGAGGAATCATTTCCACTTTTTTGTTCTTTCCCTTCCCCCAAGGAAACAATTCCCCACTACATCCTTATTCTTCACCAATTAAATTGTACTCGCTATTTTTATAAGTTGCATCTTCATGCAACTATAGGTGCATACTCTAGATGAACTCCTATTCAAGAAGCATGAAAACAACGCGGGATTCAGAAATGTCACAACAAGGACATAGAAATGCACAAAATTTTAAAAAGAAGAGATGTGACAAAAACATGGCAACATATAAAATTAGTATAAAATTTAGAAAGAATCAATGTTTTGAAAGTTAGCATCAGTAAGTAAAATACTATCATTTATCTAATTATTATAGTATACAATATTTCCATTTGTATTAGCAAAAAAATTCAAAATAAAAAATAAAAAAGTAAATGAAAAACAAAATGATGAATGCGAATATTCAGTTTTCAAAGTGTCCGCATGTATTGATAGCCAGGCATAACTGAGAACAAGCCATGGTTAACAGTTGATGAAATACCTCTTGAAACCATGATATAAGTCAAGAAGCAGTGAGAAACTGATAGAATCATACAAATCAAGAAGAAATGAATGAAAACCGAGAGAGAATCAAAGAAACCTCCTGTTGTGAAAAACCATTAACTGAACTACTGAACTGCGGAGATTCTGCAACACGCTTATAGTTAGGACTTGGGAATCAAACTCAAAATCCTAACTACTTAGCTACAATTACAAAACCGGTCAACGACCGCAACTTCAGCTGCAATGTCAAGGCTTTAGGGGTATCTGCAATCACAATTGTGGCTGCATTGCTCGCAATCTTTTGCAACATCAAGGAACAAGGAACGCAACAAAACCACTATCGCTACCACAATTTATATCCATATCTAGAACTTAGACTGATATCCAAGCATATAAAGTAATCTCCCATGCTAAAGATTTTACAAAACAGTCCACGACTGCAATGTCAATGCTTTCGAGGTATCTGCAACCGCAGTTGCAGCTACATTGGCCGCATTTATCTACAATATTTTGCAATATCAAGGAATGCCACAAAATCGGAACTTAAAACCATATCTAGAGCAGTTAGACTGATAGCTAAGCACAACGGAACTGAATATTAGTATTACTCATACACCATTAAAAACATCAGACACAGATAGATGTTCAACATGGTTACAACTTACAACAACTAGTACCAGACCAATCCTCTTAGAAATCCAACATGCAATTCCATTGTGATCCAACAAAGAATTAGAAGAAGAAAAAAAAAACAGCAAATTAAACAAAAACAATCTCTAGTATAGTGATCACAGGTGTGAGTGAAACACGAACCTGGAAAATTTCAACCTTGAAGGAGAATGAATTGACCGCTTTCAAGGCCTGGCTAGTGATATTATTCTGCACTATCAAAATCAACCCAGTCAAAGTCTCCCTATTTACAATCTGCCCCGAAATGTTCCTCACGTCAGAGACCTTGACAACCCCTGTCCCACAGAAAATGACCAAAACCTGCAATCATAAAACAGAGATGGAGAATCATGAAGTAGTCCCATATGGGTTCGAATAAAAATGGGATTTTTACTTAAAATTTAGGGAGAGAAAGTGA